GCCGCCGCCGCTGCCGCCGTACTGATTAATGGTTTCAACGCCGCTACCTCGACTTCGCTGACGGGGCTGTGGAACCTTCAGCACGATATCGTCGCCGTCGTCGTCAACGACCCCACCCCGATCATCGCCATGCATAGCGGCAGGCACAGCGGTAGCGGCTGCATCAGTCGTAGTACGGCAGCCGCTTGCTGTGCCGCCGCCGACGGAGCTGCTAGCTCCGTCGCCGTCGCCGTCAGAGCCTCTCAGCGCCGTCCGTCCCGTACCAGCGGCGGAATCTTGATGATCGCCGCCGTACAACGCATCTGATGCAGGTGCAGGAGGGCGCGGCGGGGGGCCCGGCGGTGCAGGGGATGAAATACCGAGACCCGTGGTGGCGCCGGACGCGGCTGATTGCGCGGCGCCGCCGCCGCCGTCAGCAGCAGCAGCAGCAACGTGCACAACCGCACTTGCCCAGCAGCTCTGGAGCGCTTCCGTCACCCGCTCGCATAAGGCCCCACAGGACGTCTGCCGACCTAAGCACCACAGCGCCGCCAGGGCACGGTAGCGCACTGCGCCAGGCAGCGCCGCCGCCGACCCCACCGCCGCCGCCGCCGGTAGTTGGCCCTGCTGCTGCTGCCCTCCGCTCCCGTTCTGGATAGCCTGGCGGAGGCGCGGAGGCAGCAGCAGTCGTACTAACGGCCTGCAGCTCAGGAAGGGTGGCGGCAGCGCCAGCGCTACATCCACCAGGTAGGCCGCCAGCGGGCACCCACTGCCGCCGGAGGAAGGGGGCTCGCCGCCGTCGCTGGGGGCCGCGGCGGCGGCGGCGGCGAGCGCTTGCTCCGCCGCCACGTCCGCCAAGAGCTGCTGCGGCAGCGCGGCGACGGCGCCCGCGGCGGCAGTAAGGCCCAGGAGGGCCGCCACCGCAGCGGCGCCGTCAAGTTGGGTCAACGCCTGGGGTCCAGAGGCCGTACAGTGGGGGAGGCAGTCAGTCTGTACGGCAACAGCGACCCAGGTCTTCATCTTGCCGCTTCTTTCGGCTCCATGTGTTCTCCCCCCCATGGGCAAACAAGAAAAGGAAAAGGTAACTAATGAACTAGCTGAAGCCCCTGAGGTGTGGAAGCCCACTAAAACATTGAAGGCCCTTTCCCCTCCTCTCCCGCGTTCGCGTTAATGCCTCCCTCATTCTCACCCGGAACCGTGTTGCAATTTATAATTTGCTTGTTTTATATTCTTTGGCCTTTTTTTGGCCCAAGTCCTCACCTCTGCGAAACGGCCCGTGGTTGCCGCCGGATCCACCAACACTACAGATTCAGATCCGGATCCAGCCGCCACGCCGCCAGGCAGCGCCAGCGCCGCTACCGGGCCCCCCAGCACCTCCGCCGCCGCCCTCATCACCGCCGCCTGCACCGCACCACCACTCCCGGCCCCGTCCTCCTCCACACCGCCGCGGCCGTCAATGGCGGACAGTGCAGCGGCTGCGGATAAGTACGACAGTACGGACGCAGTGACGGCGCCGCTGACCGGGGCCAGCGGCACGGCGACCGACTGCGCCTGCATCAGGAAATCGACAACTGGGTTGTCTCCATTGTGTTGGCGGTGACGGCGATCGACGCGGGAACGACCCTCCACTGCCGCCAGCTCCAACTCCGCTTCATCGGCGCCGTCTTGCTGGGTTTCGGAGCCCGCCAACAGCGCCATGGCAAACAGCGTCTGCTCCTGTGGGGGCGGCGCTGCCGCCGCCGCGATCGACATCGTACCGTCACTGCCGCTACCGTCACCGCCGCCAGCCAACAGCTGGACCACGGACCCATGGGTCACTAGATCAGTGAATCGCACCGCGCCGAACTGCCGACATGCCAGCCTCTCCACTCGGGCCAACAGCACCTCGTCAGCAGACAATGGACTCGCCGCCGCCTCCACTAGTGGCTGCGGCCGTGCGTCATCGACATCACCGCAGTCAACCGCAGCTACATCTGGTCCTTGTACGACGCTGGCGCTGACGGCAGCGACTGCCTGACGGCAAAACGCGGCTAGCTGTTGCAGCAGCAGCGGAGATGCGTTGGCGCCGCCGCTGCCGCCGCTACTGCCGGCAGCAGCACCTGCTGGCGCCATAAGTGACATCGTCCCTACAGCCGCCCTGCCGTCCCGATCACCATCACCACCGTCACCGTCCCCCAATACCTCCCCTGTCCCCGCGCCCTCGCTTGCATCGCCGGCCTTTCCCGACGGCGCGTGCTGCTGCTGCTGCTGCTGCTGCCCCGCTGCTCCGGCTGCTGTGGTGCTAATAGCAGTCTCGACAGCGGCTGGTTCCGGTGCTGGCGGCGCCGCCTCCTGCGGTACAGTCGTACTGCTGACGGCGGGACGACGACGCAGCGCCTCTACCAGACCGCAAGCCTTCTCAAACATATCTGTCCGGGGGGAAGGGAGGGGAGGCGGGGAAAACCGCCGGGGAGCAGAAACACATACACAGCGGACACGTTGCCCCCGGGCGGACGGAGGAGCGGCCGTCGGTGACCGAGTAAGGTGGCGACGACGACGAAGCAGTACATGACGGACACCATTGACGGACGGACATACAGACGGCTGCTTCCGACCCAGCCCCGTGTCATCGCGGATATCATAGCCGCAGTAGCAGCAGCGGCCAGGTACTTAATGAGGTGCAAGTAGGCAGTAGCAGCCCTCCAGACCGGCGAAACAAATCGAGCAAAAACACATTTTCCCCTCTCCCACCCCGCGTTAGAAATCCGATTCCCTCCCACTCTCCCATCCCTTTCAAGGTGTGAAGACCATGGACATGTGTACGATGTACGACAACAGGTGGCGGCCCAAAAGCTCAGGTGTTCCCCCCCGCGAGGTAGCCTCACCCGCCACCGCCGCGCCGCCCTCGGCCAGTAACGCCGGCAGCCCCTCCGACTCCGACACGCCGCTGCCGCCGCCGCCACTGTCATCCCCGCCGCCACCGTCACCGCCGCCGCCACCGTCACCGCCGCCGCCACCGTCACCGCATCCGTCCCCGGACTGCGGCCCCGGCCAACTTCCCACCGACGATAGCGTGTCGATACCCAGGGCGGCGCAAGTGGCCCTCTCAAGCTCCAACAATAGCGCCAAAACGGACCTTGGGGCTGGCGGCGGCAGCGGCGACGACGGGGTTGCGGCCGTTGCTTGACCCACCCCCACCGCCTCCGTCAGCTCCGCCTCCAATGCCTTCGTCATGGCCGTTAGTTGTTGTCGTACTTCCTCCCGCAATAGTGGCCGCGTGATGGGGGCGGGGTCCAGGGCATGGGAGAATTTCGGGGCTCCCAAGGCCTGAGGGGGGGGTTTCGGGTAAAAGCGGGTTAGGGGTCGGTGTAAGTGCGGCAGGTTTGCGTGGGCATGAAGGTTCTCACTAGACCCGAACACCCGATCCTGTCGGTTTCAGAGGAGGCGCTGCGGTGCGCGGGGGCGGTGGAAATTACGGCCTAGGAGCGCTTTGAGCTTGAGTAGGAAGGGCAGGGCTCGTGTGGGGTGTAGGAGTTTAGTTGGTTTAACGGGGTGCAGGGTATGGGTATGGTTGAGAGAGGACCCCGCGGCGGGAGAGGGAGAGGGAGAGGAGAATTGAGGGCGGTGGAGAGGGGCACGCAGTGCAGGGAGGAGTCCTTTTTCTTCCCTAGTGCCGCTCCGAGGCTGTGAGAGACCGGTGGGTTGCCGGGGAGCGTCCGGGGGAGGTGGGAGCGCTCAGGATAAGCCAGGGGGGAAATAAGACGGAGAGAACGCCAAGACGGCGTCTTGGGGTTTTGGCGGTCAGGAGGTAGAGTTCCGGTGGTAGCAGCGGAGCTCGCGCGGGGGTGAGATGCGGCCCAGGGGGGGGGGGCGTCCTACTTAGTTTGTTGCATCTCCCCTGGACCAGGGCCCCGTGAGGTGGAGGTGGGGGAGGTCAGCTGCCGCAAGGCGCCTTTCCTTGTCTCTAGCTCTTCGCGCTTTTCCTTCTTTTCTGCAGGTTTCTTGTTGGTTTGCTGTGCAGCTGCAGCCGGAGTTCCCCCCTGCCTGGGCCGCCTTGTCAAGAGGGCTTCTGGGTGGCAGGCCGGGGACTTCATAGAGCCTTTGCCTTTCTGCCCCTAGCTGAGCCTTGTGGAGTCGCTCAGGCGAGACTTGAGCGCCCGCCGGCCCTTCACCGCAGCACCATCCCCCCGGACGGAGGCCCTTCACTGCAGCACCATCCCCCCGGACGGAGGCCCTTCACCGCAGCACCATCCCCCCGGACGGAGGCCCTTCACTGCAGCACCATCCCCCCGGACGGAGGCCCTTCACTGCAGCACCATCCCCCCGGACGGAGGCCCTTCACTGCAGCACCATCCCCCCGGACGGAGGCCCTTCACCGCAGCGCCATCCCCCCGGACGGAGGCCCTTCACTGCAGCGCCATCCCCCCGGACGGAGGCCCTTCACCGCAGCACCATCCCCCCGGACGGAGGCCCTTCACCGCAGCACCATCCCCCCGGACGGAGGCCCTTCACTGCAGCGCCATCCCCCCGGACGGAGGCCCTTCACCGCAGCACCATCCCCCCGGACGGAGGCCCTTCACCGCAGCACCATCCCCCCGGACGGAGGCCCTTCACTGCAGCACCATCCCCCCGGACGGAGGCCCTTCACTGCAGCACCATCCCCCCGGACGGAGGCCCTTCATTGCAGCACCATCCCCCCGGACGGAGGCCCTTCACCGCAGCACCATCCCCCCGGACGGAGGCCCTTCACTGCAGCGCCATCCCCCCGGACGGAGGCCCTTCACCGCAGCACCATCCCCCCGGACGGAGGCCCTTCACTGCAGCACCATCCCCCCGGACGGAGGCCCTTCACTGCAGCACCATCCCCCCGGACGGAGGCCCTTCACCGCAGCACCATCCCCCCGGACGGAGGCCCTTCACTGCAGCGCCATCCCCCCGGACGGAGGCCCTTCACCGCAGCACCATCCCCCCGGACGGAGGCCCTTCACTGCAGCACCATCCCCCCGGACGGAGGCCCTTCACTGCAGCACCATCCCCCCGGACGGAGGCCCTTCACTGCAGCACCATCCCCCCGGACGGAGGCCCTTCACTGCAGCGCCATCCCCCCGGACGGAGGCCCTTCACCGCAGCACCATTCCCCCGGACGGAGGCCCTGCTGAGCCGCTGTGTCGTGTGTTGGCTGTGAGAGAGTCGGGTCGGGAGCACTGAAGACTAGCCGCGACTTGTGCTGTGTGTGCTTCCAACCCTTGCGTTGTGTTTCGGCTTCGAACCCCCTCTCACGGCTTTCGTGGCCCACAATGTAATCTAATTCATACATACATACATACGTACGTACGTACATACATACATACACCACCTCGGTTTCCCCCCGTTCCCCCCTCCTCCCCCTTGCGCCCACCTGCAGCGCCCGGTGCCACCACAGTGGCCACCGGGGGCCCCCTCGCCGCCCCGGGCCGTACACGTCCACCGACTCCACCACCCCCTGGAGCAACAGAGCCACTGCCACCTCGGCACACAGCTGCGGCACCGGGAGACGGACAGAGGGGAGGGGGGCGGGAGTATAGCCGGGGAGGCGGGGTAAAACAGGATAGTAAAGGGAAGGGGCGGGTCCGCGGGTAAAGGTAAAACCCTGAAACCCAAAGCGCAATAAGTGAGAGGGGTGGGGGAAACACGAGCCACAAACGAGTGAAGCTATGGATGGGGGAAACACGAGCCACAAACGAGTGAAGCTAGGGATGGGGGAAACAACTGCCGTCCAACTCCCTGCTGGCGGGAGTCCAACAAGGACATGAAAGAATAACGGCCCCTTAGCTAATTAGCTCTGGGGAAGATCAGCCCCGGAAATGTACGGACAGTTGTCGTGTACGGCCGTCGAGGAAGGGGTATCACAGGGCGAATGGAAATTGGAAGCTTGCCGCTGTGTTTTGCCGTGTGCCGTTACCAGGACAAAAAATGCGTTGACAGGCGGTCAGCAGGCTTTTTTACCTTGACACCCGTCCGCTCATTGCTGTTGACTAATAAGCCACAATAGACACACCAAACCCGCCTGTCATCGGTGTACTGCATGTACGGCAGGTACGAGATGTATGTACCGGGAAACAGTCCTGCATAGGTGTACGGGCTGCCCACGACGGGCAGGCCCCTGGTGCACACACATACACATACACGTACACATCCTGCCAGCTTGTGCGCCGCGCATTTCTACCCGCGATTGCCGTCATTCCATTGAGACGCGCGATGCGTGATGCATAAAATGGTGGCCAGGATTTCCTGCTTTGACAAATTCCTCTACATTACCAATACTACTACTACGCAACAACTTCAGGGGCTCTTCATATCGCTCTTCCAATATCATCAGCACCTTCTTGAAAGACCCTCAAGCAGCTACGTCCACACAGCTCCAAGGGCAGATCCGAAAAGCACGTCCCGGTTGACGGCCCCGGGCCCCCGGGGGGGGCAACGTGACACCCCGGGGTGGAGGCGTTTCCCCCATCGCAGCTCAGAACCTCGTGATGCACAGCCACTCGGCTGGCCACAACCACCACAACCGCCACAACGGCCACCCACCCTGCAAGGATCCACAGAGTCGCTGTAACCGATACCCGCCGCCGCCGCCGCCGTACCAGCCGCCGCCGTACCAGCCGCCGCCGTACCAGCCACCGCCGCAGCCGCTGCTGCGGCCCGGGTCCACGTCCGTATGCAGTCCGCCAGTTCGTCGATCGCGCCGTCTGGATGCGCGTGCCTCTCCCCGGCGCGGCGAACCAACTCCCGAGCCTGTGCACGTACCATGTACGGCATGTAACGCATGCATACTTGTGCATTTGATGTGCGTACGTGATATCGAGTACATTACGTAACATGTATGGCGGAAAACCTAACAAGCAATACATATATGCATGTATAAATGTATGTATATATACGTATATACATACATATATATGCATACATACCCTCAATACTTTGCGTTCGTATCTGCACACGCACACGCACATGCAGAATGGAAATCGTGGAATCAGGAATATCTTCAGGGGCCCCTGTGCGCACAAACGACCATGACTAAATCATTGGGGCAACTGAAAAGCTAGAGGGGTTCATGCACACGTGGCCATGTGGCCGTACAACCCAACCGCAGCAGCATGGGGCAGGAGGGGTGAGATGACCCACAGGCGAATGAAGCTGCTGATACCGGATCTGAGATAGACGGACGGACACCCCGGTCGGGGGGGAGGGGGGGGGAACTGTGACACCCAGTGCAAAGAGTACTCAGGGAGATGCCATGGGGGCCGAACCCCCCGTACAGCATCAATAATCTGTCAGAATCCAAACATGATGAACATAAAAACACGAATCCAATCGCATGCAGAATCCTAAACCCCTTCAATGCCCCTCCCTCCCCTCCCTCGTCTCCACTCACCTTGACCACCACCGCCACCCGGATGCGGTACTTGGGCTCCACACAACAAACCCCAAAGAGGTGGGAGCACACGTCGGATTCATTGGGACACGCACACAGCCCAGTCATCATGTCCACCGGCCACCACTCAGCTTGACCGCTGGTGGAATGAACGCGATACAGGTGCGGTACGGCAGTGTCGTACATGATGCCGTCGTACATGACAGCCAGGCGGGCACCCTTAATCCGTACGCCTTGGGACACGGACCGGAGCCATGCGGATTCCTGCCGGGCGGACGGAAGGAGGGGGGGAAGGGGGAGGGAGATGGAGGAATTCCTAAGGTAGCAACTTCATCCAGCAACACAAGCCACATACGACCTTCGCCCTCAGTTGCCACCTGACGTGCTGACGGAGTCCCAAACCGCCATTCTGTGGTAACTTCACCACCATAACATGTTCGGCCGTGTCACGCACCGAAGTCCTCCCCAGGCGATGACCGGGTAGAACGGGGGGGCGGGGGGAGGTGAAGAAGGGCGGAGGGGGAGGATAGGAGGGAAGGGGACTATAGCTCGGGGGTTGTGTTTGCGTGCCGAAGCTTTTCCCCCATCCACTTTCATAGGTTGCCCTAGACCTACCCCGTCACTTAGCCGCACACACCACCCACACCACACACCTACCGGCCAGTCCTTGTCGACCACCCGCGCCTCTCTCTCCCTATCCCTCACAGAGTTGAGAACCGCACCGCCAACGGCCCGCCGTGCGCGACCCAGCTGAACCATCGGTGGCGTGTAGTTGCCGGTTCTGGAGCCACCGCCACCGCCACCGCCGCCACCGCCGCCGCCGCCACCGCCGCCGCCGCCGCGGGGAAAGGCAGCTGCCGAATGGCCCGCGGCCGCTGCCCCACGCATTCCCTGTCCTTGTTGTCCTGTTTGGATCTGGATTTGGCCTTGGCCCTGGCCCTGGATTTGGATCTGTCCCTGGATCTGGCCTTGGCCATGTGGCAGAGGTGATGATGCTTGCGATGATGGTGCAGTAGATCTCGGCCAAGGAAGCCCGGGGTGGACTCCTTGGGAGCTGGGGGAGGCGGCAGTGGGCCCGGGGGCTGTCGACGACGCGGCTGCTGTTGCTGCGGCGGCAGCGGTTGCAGCCGCCGCAGTTAGGCGAGCCATGTCTGCAGAAAGAGGTTATGCGGTGATGGTTATATGATAGCGCGTACGTACGTATGTATGTATGACTTAGATTACATTGTGGGCCACGAAAGCCGTGGGAGGGGGGGTTCGAAGCCGAAACACAGCGCAAGGTTTGGAAGCACACACAGCACAAGTCGCGGCTAGTCTTGCACACGTCGGGGTGGGCGGCAGGGGGGGGTGGAGCAGGGTGGGCGCTTCCCCCAGCAGTGCACTGCGGTAGACGGCAATGCGCCCCGAACTGAACGAACCCCCTCCCCCTCCCACACACACACACACACCAGCCGGCAGCTCCTCAGTCCTTGAGTCCCTCCACCGCCACCTCCACCTCCACTTCCCTCACCCTCAGAAGTGCCCCTCACCGTCTCTTACCAGGCGGCGGCGCAAGCGTGAGGAAGCCACGACGTGGAGCCGCTCCGGAACCCGCACCCGTCGCCGCCGCCGTACTCGGACCTGCGGCGGGACTTGGAGGGGGTCCCACGGCCCCTGGTCGAGCGCGACTTGCGCCATTTCCTGGCAAGGGCGCTGGCATAGCACCAGCGGCATTAGCAGCAGCAGCTGTAGCAGCAGTAGCAGCGGTATGCTCCGCTGGCGTCATGGTGGCTCGTACACGCGGATCGGCGGGTCGTTGTTGCTGTTGCTGTTGCTGCAGCTGTTTAGGCGGCAACTGGCCGGGAAGCTGTTGCTGTTGGAGGTGGTAGTGTCGTCGTTGCTGTTGTTGAGGATGTTGTGGCTGGTTGGGTTGTTGTCGCTGTACGGCGCTTCCCTGCCTCTGCTGATCATTCGCTTTCGTTTGATAGGGGTGGTGGAGTTGCTGTTGTTGTTGTTGTTGTTGCTGTTGTTGCTGTTGCTGCGGCGGTGGTTGAGCCTGCGTGAAGATTGGATGCTGCTGATGCCGCTCCTGATGTTGTACTTGCTGTTGCTGCCCTACCTGTTGTTGTTGTTGTTGTTGCTGGGCCACTGAGCGCAGGAAGTCCTCGAAGGAGAGGGACGGTCCAGAAGGGTGCCCCTGCTGCAGCCGCGTTGCAGTTCCAACACTTCAACACTCCATATCTCTTTTCCAGGCGAGGTGAGGTGAGGTACTTAGGGTTTTCAACCGAGAGCTTACAACAACAACAACAACGGGAGGTGCAAGAGGTTACCTCGCTATCCGTCCGGTCCCCAAAGTTGCAAGTGAAGCACCAGTGGCGAGGTTGATGCTCACGCATTGCACCCCTCAAACGTTCCTCATAGCGCTCCTCTAATTCCGATGCAGAGGCAGTGCCCATGCAATAATCCCTGCCTACGACGCATCCTTACTCGGTGCTTTCTGTTTCCCGTTCTCATTAGTACTGCATAGCTGGAGCTGTGCGCGCCTGGTAAAGTACGTGGGGGCCTTACCTGCACTGCTCCTTGCTGCTCTTGGGTTGGCTTTGCTGGCCGGCTTTGTTGAGGCGGCTGCCCCTGCCGGCTTTGTTGAGGAGGTCGCGGCAGAGGTTGTTGTTGCTGTGGCTGAGCTTGTTGGGGGTTGTTGACCAGCCCCGGCTCAGACCCGGGCGCGGGTTGCCCGCGACGTGGCTGCTCGGGCCGCCTGTCACCTGCTGGTCTAGGCTCGGCGTTGCGCGGCGCAGCGGAGGCGTCTGAGGGAGGCTGTGGCGGAGGCGCCTGGCTGGTTTGTGACGGACCGTGGAGACCTCGGAGTGCGTTGCGCAACAGCGCGCTGGGTGGTGGCGGCAGGCGCGGGCCACTAGCGCTACCGAATCCGCCCTCCATGTTCCGACTTTGTCCTTGTTGGTTCTAGAAAGGAATGAGATAATTAAGCATCGTCAAATACAATGTAATTGTGTTTGGTGACATCTTTTCAAATCGGCAACATGCGCGCTGCGGCAAAGCTGACAAAAGTTTTTCTAATGAAACCTATGTAGATCTGGCAGACTCGTGGAAAGGTTTTGTCCAAATATAAATATGTCATGAAATGTGTGATTGCCTGCGATGTCTTAGTTTTTTCACGCGCTTGCGAGCTCCTATGACGAGAAATTTAAACGCCTCATCCAACATGTAATCCAAAATTATCTGCGTATTCCATCTGTCTATTCCATTGCAAATGCGAAACCTGCATGCAGAAGCACCGCAAGCCAGCCACGCGTGTCGCCCCGAAGCCAAGACGGTTGAACGCCCGCCAAAAAACATATGCCCAATCACCGCCTGCTTATTCCTTGTTGTCTGTTAACCAAGATAGGCACTACCATCAAGCACGCAAGTCGGCGCCTGCGCACGGCCGCGGCCAAGTCAACGCAACGCCTGACCCTGAGGTCAGCAACACGCAAACCCTCATGCTCCTCCTGCCCGCTCCATCTCTGCAACCGCCTCATTAATAATCTTGGTCACCTCCGTAGCAAACTCGGTTAGGACGGGGTTTTTGTCTGCATACGGGATAAAAAAAAGCAAGTCGCGGTCGCATGAGACGAAGTAAAGCTCCAAACCTTCTGATTGATGGTAATCTCTTCTATTCCTGAGCATAATTGGAACATGGTTTCCGTAACAAAGCCACCCAGGTCTTACAAGGCAGGCATCGGCCAGCGCACAAAACCACGGCCAAGCTTGCGACTGATCCTGATCCTTTTATCGTTCCTGTATCCCCAATGGGCACACCAATTCGTTTAGATGACCACAGCCAGCTCAAAATCAAACTGCCAGGCCTTCCTCAGCCCCCGACCAACACCGCACCTGGGTGCCAACGAAGCTGTAGCTGCCGAATGCGCTTCCGCCGCTCCTCCTCGCCACACTTGGCCGCCTCCGTCACTGCGGCCTGGATGGCGCTGCGGATGCTCGCCAGGCTGAAGACGCCGCCACCGCCCTCCCCAGCCCCTTTGTCCGCTGGACCTGGCAGCGGCCAACATCACCCCCCGAAAACATTCACGCTCGCAACAGGGATAAGCTAGTGCACATGCACGCGAGAGGAATCGGCAGGAAGCGGGAAAAAAGCAGGAGAAACCGGCGAAAAGAACAGAGTGGTGGAAAGCGGAGGACGACAAAGCAGGTGGTCAAAGCGAGCCGCCGAGTGTCTATCCCTGGCAGCCGAGGCTATGGCTCGGTTGGCTGGTGATGCTAACGCGTCCAGCTAGCTCCGCAAACCCTCACCAGGCGGCTCCCCAACCGTTCGGCCAACCGCGCCATCTCCCGGGCCTCCGCAGGTTTCTTACCGGGTTGCTGCTGCTGCTGCCTCGCCGCCAGCAATTCCAACTCCAGCAGCCTCTTGCGCAGGAAGCGCACATACACCGCAGAGTCAGCCAACGTGGCCTGTTGGGGCAGGGGTTGCACACGAACGGCCCAACGGACGGTCGAGGGGGTGGATGGAAGCAGAAGGCGAAGGCGGCAAGATGCGGTCATGAAGGGAATGAGGACGAGCGGGAAGGCATCTCAGCACGACAAGACTGCCTTCCCTGTCCCCATCTCCAGCTTGCCTGCGCGACCGAGCATACTCCTCGAATTCCCTTTCCCCGCCCAGCGCTTTAACAACCCCAAGGCTATCGCAACCTGGCCATCCCCCTCCCCCGCGCACTGTGCCATTACACGTGCATCAGCACCTATCGGGTCCCATAACAGCTAACACTCAAGAATCTCGATCCCACCCCTCCAGCCTGCCACCTGTAGCGCATCCACGTCCGCGTAGCAGCCCGACAGCTCGCTCAGCGCGTTATCCCGCTTTCAACACACGGAGGACAAGAGAGGGAAACGAAATTCAGATGGGTGCTCATGGAGGTGGCTGGTGGGAACGTGGAGCTCATGGAAGAACAAAGCGGGCTTAAGAGGCCCATAGGAGGGAGGGGACGACAAAAGCAGGAACGGCCAGGCGGGAACAAGGTCTGTCAACCCTCTCCGCCAGATGGACAGCCAATCAGCATCCTGTACCCCTTTTATCCCCCGGGCCGTACCTGTTGTAGCGCGTCGTCCCGCATGGCCCGCAGCCGCTCACAACGAACCCGCTCCTCCGCCAGAGCTGCCTGATGACGGGCCTCCGTGAAGGCCACCTGTCGCGGAGGAGGGGGGGATCACCGCAGGGGGCCGATGAGGACCGCTGGAGGGCCGTGTTCAGATATGCCTAAACTATGCATGCGAAATTGTGAACATGGACTGCCGATGGGAGGGGACAAGGGTGCCCGGGCGGCTCCGTGTAACCCCATGGAGCAGACCAGTCAGCGCTGTACTGCACTGTACGGCACATAGGGCAACTTGCATCCTAAGCCATTTAGATCCTAAGCCAGAAGAAATGAACGTAGAGAGGGCCCTACGGGGTTGCGCACAGAAGTCTATGATCAATGATGCCCCATGATCAAACACACTGCTTGCTGCCATGCTGCATCGGCCTCGGGACACGGGTGACATGGCCACTGACCGGTTGGAAAATCGGCAAATTCCGGAGTATTTCAGGACTGAAGAAATCCCGGACCGGGTTCCCTTCCTGACTTGCTTTAGTGGACGGACGTTACACCCCGGGAGATGCGCACACGTGCACGTGCACCGGCCCCAGGGACTTCTCACCTGCAGTCTGCCCGCCTCTAACAAAGCCTCCAATCGACTGACCTGCATACCAGGAGGGTGGGTTTATATGGAGAAGACAAAGACAGGGGCGGGATGACTGTTACACGCGGTCCCAATCCTTTGGCCCTGGCGCTACCCAACACACATGTGGCCCTGGTATTTCTGTTGTCAAGCACGGTTCGTTTGTTATGCAGACGGCTTCTCGCGGCAGCAGAAACTCAGGATTATCTATGAGTGCAGCATGCCGTGCTGCGTAGGTCCCGGAAATAAGAGTGTCTGAAGAGGGTCGAGGCACGCAATGCCATCCAACGTGCTGGTTTAATCCGCGGGCTTACGTCCTGTTGCAGCTGCCGTTCTCGCTCCTTCCCGTGGTCTGCCTCCACCTTCAGACGGCGCGTAGTATCTTCGCTCCGGGCCAAGCTGCGGGTGCAGGTGAGCGGGGGTTGTCTGAGCAAAATAAGCGGTCTGGGTGTCTGGGTGTCTGGGAGGCGACTTCTAAAGCACCCAAGAAGAAGCAGGCGCGTGACAAGCTAGAACCTCACCGCGCAGCATAGCTGCTGCAGACTGCAGTAGACTCGGAAAGCTGGTCCTGTAAGAGCTCACACTTGCTACGCAAGTTTTCCAGGGTGGACGCCAATAAAGATACGCGCTCATCGAACATGGCTGACAGCGCATCCTCAGGTGACTGAGCGAGTATGGTGCTGCTATAATCGCTACTGTCGCTCGAACAGGGGCTGGCTGCACTACGGCCCTGCGGACTCCTCGATTGTTGAGCCCGGAGCTCACGACCATCATGCTGGTCAAGGCCGTCCTCGTCTCTCACATCATCCGCCAGGTCTGATTTGTTAAGAACTTGTATCTTCATAATTAGGCCTTCAATCACTCTAAGGCTAAAAACCCAGACTCAGCCAATGGACGAATCAGCGAGCCAGCGCAAACGGTGAATCCTCCAGCTCCTTTGCCGTTAGTTGATCATTCTCCATGTATGGCTAGAGGCTGGTCCCCTGAGAACCAAGCACATCAAAGGTCAGCTGGACCGCTCTTTGATAGCCTTGCGTCAGGGATTCACAAATTTATTTTTGACACCAGGAATGCGATTTTAAAAGTAAATGTGATAGTATAAGTTGCTACGCTGAAAAGGTAATGTCCAGGGATATGGCTTGGAATCCACGGCAACCCATTTCAGCAACCCGATCGCATGGATGCCATACATAAATGAAATATCAGCCATGGATAAGTAATGAGTAATAATGGTGGCATTAACTTCGTGCTTGCACCTAAGCCAGATGCGCATCGTATGACAAATCTCCGGCCAACGTGCTGGCAACGACGCTGCGGCAGGCTGCGCCTCAAGGGGAACCATTTGACCCTATTCAGAAGAGGCCCACTCGTCATACCTGATACGTTTGTGCAATAGCTCCTCGCGAGTGTTTAGGCCTCCAGGCCTTGGACTCGACGCTGTCGACAAACCCTGTCTTGCGAAGCGAGCCGCTAGGGAATGCACGTCGCACTTGATGATGAGTCGCCATTTGTGGCGAACGCCCGAACCTTGGTGTCTTTAGCCATCATCGTCCTGGTAGGGGTTCTCCACGTGCGCGTGTTGCCGTCTTACCGTTGGCTGCCGTCGCCTTACCCGACAAGGTAAGTTATCTGTCTTTTTCGCAACCTTAACATCCAACCCATTGCCATAATGTTGATGCAGGTGGGTTCTGTGGCTAGTTCATCGGGAGTCGGGGGCGGCGCCATCTTCATCCCGCTGTTCAATGCGCTCGTTGGCTTCAGTAAGTCAGATCCGCACAATCCCAGCCCCACTTCCTTAAATTCTTTCGCTTCCCTTTACATAAGACGTATGTAGATCTTTAAAAGTCTTGCAATTCTTGTGATGGCTCCGGAACCCTTAAGCCACATACAATGTCCACGCATCCCTTAACCCGCCTTTCCAGACCTCAAGTCAAGTACCGCGCTATCTCAAGCATGTATTACCTTTGGAGCCGCCGCCACTTTACTTGCCAACCTCATGCACCACCACCCGAGCGACCCAACGGTCGCTCTGGTGGACTTCACCCTCGTTGCGGTCCTGACTCCAATGCTCCTGATGGGGGTTGGAATAGGTGCGTACTGCAGCCATGCCGTACCAGTCTCAAATCTGCAGGGCCCATTCCTCCCGCCGCACGCACACGCGGCTAAGGGGCTGGGGTCGCCCTCCACCGTCCCGCCGCTGTGCAGGGGAGCGGGGAAGTCGCTCGGAGGTCTTTTAAATTCGTTCTTACTGAGCTCTGTCCACACTTAGCCCTCCCCCCGGCGCTCTTTCACCCCGCGGTACTCACGCCTTTTTTTCCAAGGGCTTTTCCTCCCCCCTGGAGCCATCCTTCCGGCCCATTCACCAATCCCAACCTCCATTCCAACCACCAACCGCCGATCGTTAATAACAACCATCCCCATTCCCAACACCGCTCCAGGTGTGCTGCTCAACGTGATGCTCCCCTCCTGGTTATTGACGACTTTGTTGTTGCTGTTGCTAATAGCGCTCGTGGCGCAGTCGCTCAGTAAGGTGTGTGTGTGTGGGGGGGCAATGAGAGGGTGTGTGGGTGCATAGGAGGAGGCAGCGCTGCGTGAGGAGGCGATGAACCAGTCATTATGTCTTACATGCTGAAGGGAAAAGGAGTGGGAGACAGGAGGTGGCGAGGGTTGAGGGTGATGGGGTTTGCAAGGGCGTCCTTCCTGGCTCCCTCCCCCGCCTACCCCCCGCATCTGCCACCTCTCCCTTCTTTCCCTTCTCTTCTATGGGGTGAGGGGGGTTTGGCTGGGTTGGTGGGCGACGTGGGTGGGGTGGGCTGGGCTGGGTTGGGGCTTCAGGGTTTGGTAGGGTTTTAGTTTACAGCGTTTGGGAATGGGAAGGAATGAAACGGCATGGCATGCAACTGCTGCTGGTAATGGTGCTGGTGCCACTGCTACTGCTGTTGTACTGCTGCTACTGCAACTGCTGTTACTATTGCTGGTACTGCTGCTGTTGCTACCGATGCTGCTACTGCTGCTGCCGCTGGTGGTGATGCTGGTGCTGCTGTTCTTGCTGCTCCTGTTGCTGCTACTATTACTGCTGCTGCTACTGTCGCTGCCGCTGCTGCTATTGCTGCTGCTAATTGCTGCTGCTGCTGCTGCTGCTGCCGCTGCTATTGCTGCCGCTGCTATTGCTGCCGCTGCTATTGCTGCCGCTGCTATTGCTGCCGCTGCTATTGCTGCCGCTGCTATTGCTGCCGCTGCTATTGCTGCCGCTGCTATTGCTGCCGCTGCTATTGCTGCCGCTGCTATTGCTGCCGCTGCTATTGCTGCCGCTGCTACTAATGGTGCTTCTATTTATATTGCTAATGCATTTGCTACTGTTGCTGCTACTGTTGCTGCTACTGCTGCTACTGTTGCTGCTACTGCTGCTAGTGCTCTGCTATTGCTGCTGGTTCTATTGCTGCTGCTGCTGCAGCAGGAGATTCGGGCGCTACCGTTACTGCTGCTATTGCTGCTGCTATTGCTGCTTGCCGCTGGTGCTGCCGCTCTTGCTGCTGCTGCTACTGCTACTGCTGCGACTTCTGCTGCTATTAATACTGCCGCTGCTGCTGGTCCTACTGCTGCTGCTGCTGCTGCTGCTGCTGGTCCTACTGCTGCTGCTGCTGCTGCTGGTCCTGCTGCAGGGTCGGGCGCTGTGGCTCCAGGAGAACGTGCTGCGGCGCTATCACCACCAGCAGCAGCAGCACAAGGAGCACCTGCCAGCCAGCCAGGAGCCTGTGGTGGTGAAGTTGAAAAAGGGGCGCGCTGGAGGGGAGTGTTGGAGGGAGGAGGGCGACGTGGCTGCACTGCATGAGCCGCTACTGCTGCCTGGTGGCGACGGCGGCGGCGGCGGGCCCGGTGGTGAAGACGTTTTGCTGACGGCGGGGGCGGCGGCGCTGGGGTCTCCTCGGTCGTGCTTGACACCCGCTCCTACTGCCGTCTGGATTGATCTTGAAGAAGAAGGCGACGTCGGCGGCGGTGGTGATGACGTTAGTACGGCACCGGTGGTGGTGGTGGCGGCGTACGGCGGCGCACCGGCCGGTCCGGCGGACCTGATTGAATATGACATTGCTGACGCCGACAACGGAGGCCTGCAAGGTGTTACGGTTGTTGCGCATAACCATAAAGCATTTTCTGCTACCGCCGCTACTGCTGCTACTGCTGCTACTGCTGCTTCAGTTGGTGGTGGCGCTGGTGGTAGTGTTGGCCATGCTTGTGGTGTGCATCGAGGTTGGTGGGGGACGCTACCGCCGCGGCAACTGCAACTGCATCGTCAGCCACGACAGGTGATCGGGGCCCCCAGCGGCTTTGGCTCCGGAACCATTTCACGGAAGTCGCCGTTCCTCCTCCAGAGCACCATCACTCAGCGCAGCACGGATAACACGCCAAACGCCGCCGCTGCAGTGCCGGCAGCAGCGGCAGCGGCACCGTTGCCTCCGCAGGCCGTCGCAGCCTTTGCCGAGGCCCTCGCGGCGGCGCTAGCGGCGGCCGCCGCATCGACGCCGTGTACGACATGGTCTTCGTCTTGGGTGGCAGCGGCGACGTCGCTATTTGCGCTGGCGGCGCCGTCGTGGCGTGCCTTCAATGAGTTGGGCTTTGTTGAGGTTGACGACGGCGACGGTGGTGATGATGACGATGATGACGGCCATCAGGCCGCCGCTGCCGCCGTCGACGACGACAGGGCGGATACCGAGGAGGTGTGTGGCCCTTACCAACCCCCATCTCCGCTGCCGCCGTCACAGCTGACGCCGCCGCTGCTGCCTCATTCGGACCGCGATGCTGCCGGGGGCGACGGCGGTGGCGGGATCTTTAGCACGGCCCGGCACGCGCTGATGGTGGTCGTGGTGGATTCAGGGGATGGTGAGGCTCAGATTGCTAGCAGTCCTGGCGGCGCCGCCGACGGCGCGAAGCTGCCGTCACTACACACTCCGGAGCATCGTGAGGGCGTTAGGCCGGTTGTACTGGAGTCTCCGCCGCCGCCGCCGCCGCCGCCGCCGCCGGGTCTGCCGTCAACCTCCGACACAATTCCGCCATCTTGCCTCGTGGCTGATGCAGGGCGGTCGTGCGACACGTACGGCAGTTTGGACGGCGGCATCGTTACGGAGCATGATGCCGTCGACGCTGTGGCTGCTGTAGCGTGCGGCGCGCAGGTGACAACGGCGGCGGTGATGATGGCAGCGACAGGCGTAGTGGTAGCGGAGAGTGACGCCGCGGTGCCGTTGCTACAGCCGCTGCTGCCGCTGCGCGACTCCCACGGAGAGTCCGCGAACGACAAAGACACCTCTTGCTTATTTTCGGAGCGCAGTTGCCTGGCATCGGCTGCTACTGCTACCGCTGCTGCTTCCGTCGGAGATGCGGCGGAAGACAGCACTGCCGTCGCCACCAGGGGCGACTGCGACGGCGGTGTAGGCGCCGCCCGTACAAATATTGATCCCGTGACGGCACCACCGTCGTCGTCATCAGCCGCCGCCTTTCCAACTACCCAGCGCAAGGCCCGTGGAGCTAAGTCTGTCGGTGGCGGCGGTTTCCCTGGAGCTGTTGCTGCGGCG